TAGCGACGTGATACTTGGATACGAAAATGAACAAAGAAAGTTCCTAGGAGTATAACCAATATATCATATTGTCAGAATAATGAGCATATCGGTATAATGATGAAACAAAAGACAATGTACGATTAAAGATTGAAGCAGTAAAATAGAGATTTCTAATTAGGGGATAAATAGCATGTAAAAGCAGGTGAGCATGTAAATGCTCCGAGAAAATTTATTCAAAATTTCAGTTAACTTTTTGAGTGGTAGGTAAGAGTTTCAAATTTTTACTCCTAAGTGGGGGAGCGCCTGAGTGAGCATATGTCACATTTAAAGTAATGGTTTATAATTCTTTTTAAAAAGGAAAAGTTATAGTTACTAAAATCAAGACGAATGAGGTATTATCAGTAACCTTTATGATCAGAAGGGTACAATTTTCATGAAGTGCTTGTACGATAATTACAAACTTATTACGAGCAACAGTTACGATGTTCTGCATCAGGGATGTTAAAAGTTATGTCTGATAGTGAATGATTTAATGGGCAACTTGAATGTATTCCTTCAACTTGGAGGCATGTGCGATTTGAATTAAATTCAAGTATTGGCGGACAACAAGGAAGTAGTTTGAATTGTACATGGGATTAAGTGGAATAAGAGGGTATTTTAATGTGTACACACTTAGCACGAAATGAAATAGAAACAAGTAATGTAATGTGCATTCCCGAATGAGAAATGACTCTTGTACACCAAAAACGAAGTATGCCAGTAAAAAGCACGGATTTAAGAAATGGCACTAATCTTAAAAGGTGTAAGTGTCATCGTGATAGCAATGATACGCGAGTGTTGAAAGCTTACGAGCTATGGTAGTATACCTATGGTGCACCCATAAGTAGATAAAATCTCAAATTTTTGTTAGAAAACCATCACAAGGAACTCAATAGAGTTAAGGAGTTGGTTAAAGTTAAGAAATGGAGACTTAAACCCTAGTATTCGAAAATGGATGGCAAAGTAGTATCGTAAAATGACTGAAACTGGAATGATTATATTTTTTTCAATAGAACAAATTTATAAGCAATAATAGTTATCAAGTTGGGATCTTCGGTAACTCCAAAAATCACAAGTGAAGGTGGGGTTATTAATTATTATATGATGGATAAATCTAGGACAAATATCTTATTAGTCTTTAGAAAGAACAAAAGAACATTCCAAAATAATTTTAACAATTATAGGACATCAAGAGTCCTAAGTGGGAAAAATCATTTATGGAAACAAGAATCGTGAAAGGCAACAAATTTATTTTAAAGTACTGTTTAGGAAAAAAAATTCAAGAATACGAGTCGTAATGAACAAGTTTTGAAGATACCAAGTGGGCAATATAACTTCGATCCCATAAACTATGAGAAATTATCTTGAGCAAGCTAAGAAATTAACGGGGCATGAAAATAAGTTATTGTTTATTAAGGAAGTCCAATCATAGAGAGATTTTTGATTTATTTGAAGATACTTTTCAGGTACAACTTGACGTATGCATGACTAAAGAAAATGCAGGCATGTATAATAGTGATATGGGAGCTATGTATAGTAGCAATTATTGATATTGAATGGTATTCATATATGTTACAAGTTAAAAGTTTTAAAGATTTACATTTGATGAACTTATGGTATATGTATGGCCGAGTGGGGTCAAGATAGTACATTATATTGTGTATTGTTGGTTGTTGAACGATATTGTTATTTGTGCCCGTGTGGGGGCTTGTTCTGGACAAGTTAAAATTTTGGGATAGTCCTAGTTATAGGGAAAACTCTGCCGAGATTTTTAAGAATTTGTAACTATAGCCAAATTTTGAGGGCCATAAGTAAGTTGAAATTTTGGAAAGAAAGTATAAGACCCATGTAGTCATAAGTACCTATGCATAATGGTTGGAGGTAAAATGATGATAACTCTATTCTTAGAAGTGACTTGTAAAACATTCGAGGACGAATGTTCTTAAGTGGGGGAGAATGTAGCACCCCGAAAAAAATTTGAAGTACTTAAGCGTTATTAAGAAAGTTGATGTGCGCTAATTATATTATTTTGTGTGCAGACGAGGACTATTAATATAATGGATATCAATTGGATATGATAATAAGTGTATGAGGCAAATTATAAGTGATGTGGGGTCTAAGGATAGACCTAAGTCCAAGTCAAGTTAGAAATTACATGATAGACTAAAGTTCCAAATGAGTACGCACAAGACCAAACCTTGGACGAGCATATCTACATATATATAAGGATTTATATGATGGACAATCTATCAAATGAAACATATTCGATCTAGTTTCTAACGCTTCAAACCATTTGTTATTTGGACATTCTTACAAGAAGTTATGACTACATTATCAAAGGCTGGCAGAGGCATCTGCGGATGCGAAGCATCCGGGGCCGCGTCCAAAAGAATGACTAGCAGTGAAGTTCTGCCATAGCATCCAAGGCCGCGTCCGAAACCCAGAAATCTGGGCCTATAAATACAAAGTCGGGGGAGGAGAGTATTTTGAGGATTTGGGGTTAGGGTTCTTGAGGTGAAGGGGCGATTTTAAGCTCTAATCAAGTCCAATCAACCATGTTAGTTAATGTTGTTTTGGGTTGATCCTTACTCAATATACATGAGTACTAACATCATTCTTGCATCCAAATGCTAGATTTCATCATCAAATCCTCAAGAATACTAAAATCACGAAAGTTGTGACTTTTCAAGATTGAGCTACTAGAGATAATTTTAATATTTCAAACTTATTTATTATGAGTAGTTAGAAGTATTTGCAGTATTTGTTACAAGTTTTAATGGTTGAAAGATTGGATTATAAAACTCAAGTTCATGGCATGAATAGTACTTTTGAGAAAATAAGAGAGAAGATGAATGGTAATCTTGGCGATGAAATTTATGAATACAATGAACCTATGGAATTATTTGTTAGTAAAAGATTGAAGTGATCAACTAAGTAATCACCCGAATTGTATATTTTACAAGTGTTGATTAGGGAAGACGATGAATAGTAACTTGGGTGGCAATGGACAATTGATGTAGTATCATTAATGATTTTGAATGGGTATTAAAACATGAGAATGAGGTTGAATGGTCTATCATATAAAACTATTTGGCGATTTGAATTGTTGGAGGCTTGCAGCCAACTTATGAGCCATATATGGATGTTGATCAATATCTTAGGTCATATTTTGATGTAATTATGATATCTAATTGTAGATATTGACTTGTTGGTGATGTTGAGCATTTTAATCAACATTGGAATGATGGAGGGGGATTGAAAGCTTGTGAATGTTAATAAATCAAAAGCGAGGTAAGTTTATTAAAACTTACTCTTCTTGAGGGACTTTCTCTAAAAGCATATTTCGAATTAATACTTAAGTTGTTTGCATATGTGCTTTCGTACTTGTGGGGACAAACAAGTACGAATGTCTTCATGTATTAAAGTATTATGTTGCATATATAGTGTCATGTTGTATTATAAAATTTTATTTTAAATCTTGTTGGCAAAATGACACTCAAGGTAAATATTATAAGTTTTTATCAAAACTTACGTATTAACAAGAGTATACATATTTGAGTGCTAAAAATATGTTTTCATGGAAAGTATTTTTTTTTTAGAAATTGACGAACATAATAGCACTTGTGGTGTCTTTTAAAGATTATTGTTAAATTGCTAAAGTCTTTAGCATGTAAGATGTTGTTTATTTAATTTTTATTCAAATGATTTAGATTTTTCTATAAATGATATGAGTTGATAAAAATAAATCCTTTGAAGCTACTATGCTATGAATCTATTTTTGAAGTATCAAATATTTTGAGAGTTACTTGTGTTCACCGAGATTGACTTCAGATATATTGTGTTCGTTTTCATGAAACTACATGTGCCAGTGTAGGTGTAGATGGCCACTTTGTGGTATAGACTACGGCATAATGCTTTCCCTCGAGAAAGTACTATTTTGTGTTATTATTAGCATGTCTGAGTCGATTCGTACGATACTACGATGAGACGACCTGAGCAAGTAGGGTATATGATACTTTTCGCTAGGTACATAACCTAGTTGACCTTCTTATGTCGGTGATTGTATAGTACTCCCAGTAAAAGGTAAGGATGGTTTTCGTATGTTTAGGCCTAAGGAGCCGAAAGTGATTTCAATGACTTCAAACAAATGGAATGATTTTGTATGATTTTATCCAAAATCTTGGATTGATGTAAATATTTTAAAAGTTTATATTGTGGTTTATATTTTACTTGTTTTTTATTTAAAATGACAAGGATCATGAATTGATAAAAATTTTATCGTTTTATATCAAATATTGATGCATTATTGTTTATAAAGTTTATCCCAAGAACTTAAGTTAGAGAGAGTCTATGACCCTTATTGAGTACCGTTGTGGTGTACTTAGCCCTTAGAGCCCCCCCTCCAGGGTCCCGCTTACTTTACATATTTCACGATGAGGTATGATACGTGACATACGGTCAGAGCTAGGATGACTCTCTTCCTGAGGTATACGGTGAGGCACCACCTATTTCGTGGTAGCTATCATGTTGTTTTCTTAATTTACGCCAATCGGGTATTAACCCAAATGTTTAATTCTATTCTTTGGTATAGAAGCTCCATAGATAGTTGTGAAAGGTTGTAGTAACGGGGTTGTACATGACATACATGAAAGTATATTTATTTTACTTAGTCTCATTGTTATTATCATGAAAGACGTCATGTGTGATTTTGAATTGGAAAATATTTTATCATTTAACTTGAAAATGTATATGAATTTCAAGGAGCTTCCGCAGTTAAATTGGTTTTCATGCATATAATTTGGGCGCATCACATGTTTTAGTTCGCTCGGGTCGGGTAGTGTGCCGGGTGCCCGTCACATAATTTTGGATCGTGACAGTATTCCAAGCTCAGCGACGCTTTGTGTTCTAGAGGATATATGGCTTCCAAAATGACTATTCTTTATTTTTGAAAATTTCTCGTGCTTCTACTATAATTGTAGCAGTTTATGTTGATGATGTGCTTGTGACTGGTGATGATCGTGCTAAAATTTCTGCTTTAAAGTCCTTTTTGGATTCTCAATTTCGAATCAAGGATCTGGGGCACTTACACTACTTTCTGGGATTAGAAATACTTCAAGAATCGGGTGGTGTTATTATTACTCAGCGTAAGTTTGCTTTAGAACTCTTAAGTGAGTTTGCATGTGACATTGATGCCTCTGTTTCTGCTCCCTTACCTGCTTCTATCAAGCTAACTTCTGATTTTGATGATCTCCTGGCTGATCCTCTTTTGTATCAAAGGTTGGTTGGTAAGCTCAACTTCCTTACAAACACTAGACCGGACTTGTCATTCGCGGTGCAGTTACTAAGCCAATTTATGCATTCTCCCAGAACTACTCATTATTTCGCTGCCTTCCATGTCCTGAGGTACATCAAGGGGAATCCAGGACAAGTCCTATTCATGTCTAATTCTACTTCGTTTGAGTTGCAGGCTTTTTTGTGACTCTGATTGGGCTGCTTGCCCAGATTCCCCCAGGTCTGTTAGTACGTTTGTTGTGATGCTTGGTTCCAGTCTTCTCAGTTGGAAATCAAAGAAAGAAGCAATTGTTTCTTTGTGAAGTGAAGAAGCTGAATATCGGTCTATGTGAAGGGTGGTGGTAGAATTGGCTTGGCTGTCCAGGTTATTGACTGAATTGGCTGTTCCTTCCCTGATCCCTATTCCTCTTCACTGCTATAGTCAATCAACAATATATATTGCCAAGAGTCCAGTCTTTCACGAGCGGACCAAACACATCGACCTTGACTGTCATTTCGTTCGTGAAAAGCAGCAAGAAGGGCTCATTTCTCTATCTTTTGTTCCTACTAAGCTTTAGGTGGCAGATATGCTAACCAAACCTTTGTCTGGGACTCACTATCGCGATATATTGGGCAAGTTGGGTGTTGGCTACCTCCCTCCAACTTGAGGGGGGTGTTAGAATTTAGCTTTAGTATTGGGCCTATTCCAGTTGTCTTAGTTTAGTTTATATATTTATCTTGTATTAGTCTAGTTGTTATTTTACCCAATTAGTTAGCCCATTAAGCTTAGTTTGTTTTACCAATTTTGCCATTTGTATATAAAGAACATATATCATCATTTTGCAGTAGTTATAAAAAGTTCTAGAATTCTCTCAAATGCTCCTCCATCTCTCTAGCTTTGTTTTTCATTTTCTGTCCAGAAATCGCCGGATTCACCATGGATTCCGGCTAGTTATTCTTAATTTCTTCAAAACTCACGACTATCTTCCTTTCCATAGGCATTTCTGTCACATAAAAATTGTTCTTCCAAAGTAAATGACCATGAGGATTGAAAATGAATATTTGAGTAATAATATGAAGTACCTAAACTCATAGTTGTTTTCCTTTCAATCAACAAACCATTCAACATACTAATGTTCGTATTTCAAATGATGTTTCGTTAATAACCACAATATAATGTACCAAACATTAAACTCCTTCTCGTTTCCTATCTACTACGTTAATAAGTTTATTAAATAAATCAGGAAAGGGTAAAAGAAATAGGAACCAGATAATACACTTCTAAAATCTAAACGGGGCGGAGCTAGAAGTCGATCTACGGGTTCAACTGATTTAAGAATTTTTTTCTAAACTTTATATTTATATTAAAAAATTTACTAAAGAACTCATCTACAAATATGTTATATCGCTATTTTAAAATTTAGAACTTATAAAATTCTACAGTTACCCACGAACTTCAATGACTTGGAAATTAGTCGGTCTATTTGACTCTCTTCCGTGACTCCCGATTTGGCTGCACTGCTCCTTTGATCACGCTAGATTAGGAATTTGAGGAAAAAATGATATGTGAAATTGGAAAATGTGTGTAGTATAGAATCATTACCTAATAGGAAGAATAAATAACTGTACTGAGATTTAAGTAACACTAAATTTGCCTTTAGATTAAATTATTATAACAACAATAATAACATACTCAGTATTATCCCATACCGTGGAGTGTAGGGAGAGTAGTGTGTATGGAGACCTTACCCTTACCTTGTGAGGATAGAGAGATTATTTTCAATAGGTCCTCGGCTGAGGAAAGTATAAGCACCACATTAATGAAAATATAGACAAGAAGGGATATCACCAAAAAACCATCTAAAAGCAGAATAAAAACAACAAGATAGTAAGGTGATCAACAATGAAAGAAAATAATAGTTAGTCATAAAAGCCTACTATCAACAGAAAGCGAGACCGTGTGCCAATACTACTGTTATGAATATTCTAGACTACCTACTTTGCTACCATAATCATCGATTTTCATAACTTTTTATCAAGGGTCATATCCTCGGTCAGTTAAACTTTTTCATGTCTTGCCTTTAGATTAAATTATTTAGTAATATTGAACCCAGATGGATCAAAATAGAACGGAGTCAAATATAAAATATTTATATAGTATAACTCTAATTGTTCTGGCATTTTAAAAATTGAGACCTAGTTGAGCTATTGATATTTATCTTAATTTACTTTTTGAGATTCTTATAAAGTGGACGTGGCGTCTATTTCATTTGGGACCACAATAAATAATAAACGTGAAGTTCTCTTATGATTTCTTTAACTCTTTTCTTACGAGTCGGACAAGAGTGGGTTGCTCTAATGGTGAACACCTTCCAATTTCAACCAAGAGATTGTGTATTCGAGTTACCCCAAGAGCATAGTGGGGAGTTATTGGAGGGAGGGAGCCGGGGGTTTATCGGAAACAGCCTCTCTACTCAAGGTAGGGGTAAGATCTGCTTACACAATATCCTCCTCAGACCCCACTAATAAAATTATACTGGGTTATTGTTGTTATTATTTTCTTACAATTCGAGATAAAATGCGTTTTTTAAACAATTATCGAAGTAAACAATTACTTGCACCTTGTACATGCATCCAACCAGTAAATGTATAACATATGTAATATTACAATAAAGCTTTAAATTTTATAACGAGAATTCACGATCAATAAAAAATTTCGGAAATTAAGTATTAATGAATTCATAAAATAATTTTTTAATCGCTCAATATTGACTACTATAACAAAAAAATAAAACTAGAGCATGCATAGAGTACTGGTGATTTTTTTCCTACTTCTGTAGTATTAGTTAGTAGTATAAACTTAAAGCATGCACGATAACATAAGTATAAGTAAATGTTTCACATCACTGATTAGGTTATAGGTATATATAATTTTTTTAGTACTTCATTAATAATCAACATAAATTATAAAGTAGTCGTAGTAAAATTTATTCATGAAAGATAATGATCAAAATAAAAATATTGACATGTTAACACCTTGCTTCCATTGAAAGTGTAGCTGAAAAGTTTCTCAATTTTGTTATTCTATAACAATAAGGTGTTAACATGTCAATATTTTTATTTTGATCATTATCTTTCATGAAAGTGTAGCTGAAAAGTTTATATTAAATTATATTAATTTTTATTCTATAACAATAAGCTTCCATTGAAAGTGTAGCTGAAAAGTTTCTCAATGTAAAAATGTTTATTTTCACCGTGTAAGATTTTGGGAGGGTACTGTGTATGCAGATTTTACTTCTATCTTGTGGAGGTAGAGAGGCCGCTCCCGATAGACCCTCGGCTCAAGAAAAAAACAGTTGTAAAACGCTATATTGAGATTAATAAATACAAGAACAGTAACAACAATAAAATACAAAAGCAATAAGATAACCGAAACAAGGATATAATAACATGATCATTGTTCTAAAAGAACTAGTGTTTGTTGCTCTATAATTTGATCTAAGCTGTGGAGCTATGTTAAGTGCAAAAATAAGACCGATAAGGGTTGCGGTGGAGTGTTAAGTACTCCTTCATTTTAATCAGATGTCTCGGGTTCGAGTCATTGGGTATGGATTTGCCTTTGTTAGGGAGCGTTTTACCTCTAATGTGGACTTTTCGGCACGAATCCGAATTTAGTCGGGCCTCAGCGTGGATAACGAAACCAAAAAAAGGTGCAAAAATAAGTAACAAAAAAAAAGAGCTATTCCACTAACTAACTAACACTATTTTTTGGGCTCTGTTCTGACAAATACAGTAGCTATTTTGGTAGTTCACTTATCAAATGTTTTCTACTTTCTCGTTTTTATAACTTCTCACGAGAACTCGAGCCTCCCCTGCCACTCATCTAATCAAGATATGTAAAAGGAACCATACAAAATTGACCTGTTCACGAAATTAATTGCATTCCTTAGTCTAAAATTATATAAATATATATATATATATATATTAATGAAACATGAAGTTCTCATACAATATATATATATATATATATATATATATATATATATATATATATTCTCTCAGTCTTCATCTTCCTCTCTTTCCTGATTTTGTATATCTTATCGTAAAACATANTATATTCTCTCCGTTTCAAATTGGACGAGATACTTTCTTTTTTGATCTGTTTCAAAATAAAGACACATTTCTAAATTTAAAAATAATTCAACTTTAAACTTTTCATTTACACATTTTATCCTTAATGAGAAGCTTTTATAACCACACAAAATGTCATGGCCCTACAAAGCTTTTACCTCTTAAGCTTTTAAAACCACAAGTTTTAAAAGTTTTATTATTTTTCTTAGACTTCGTGCCGAGTCAAACTACTTCATCTAAATTGAAACGGAAAACTGGCACGGACCGGGTTCACTCCTCGGTTGTCCTACTTTGGAGCCTGGTTGTTCTTAATTAATATTTTAGACATAAGAAGTAATTAAGCACACACATTCATAGGGTGAAAACTTATCCATACACATATTTATATTAATTTAATGAATACATGATACATAGTTTTACATACGCACCTATCACCAAATTTTAATGCATATCTTCACTTTAATTTATCACTTAATCGTGATAATTAATATAATTTAATATAAACACCGGATGCGAGTATATTTTTACAGTAAACATTTATAGTTAGGACTTGAGGTGTCTTTGTCAGGATAAAAACAAGAGGAATTAGGGATTAATTTGGGTCAAATAAACATGTGGAGTGATTAATAGACAGTCAAAGTGCATGCTTCATAGAAATCTGTTCATTACAAGTAGTATTAGTTTACTATTTCATTTTGTTAATTAATTAACAATTAAACCATCTTGCTGTTTAACCTTTCAATTGTCCAACACTATAAAGACAGTCCTCACTGTCAAATGTGGTCACTTTTTACCAACTTTAAATCCTAACCCTCTATCTCTTCTTGTAATTCTAGCCCCAAAAAATCAAAGTACAGAAAACTGTGGTCCTTAAATTTTGTTTATTACAACTAGCTAAGTAGCTGGTACTATTACCAATTCTTGATAAAAGATAAGAGTTACCCCAAAGCCTGACTTCTTCTGAGTTGTCATTGCTTTACTTTTTGCATAAGATATGGTTCATCCTTGGCACATATTTCCTGTTTCAGAAAGAAAATAATTCCTCAATTTTTATTTATGTGGCAGTACTTAGTACATAATTAAAAAGAAATATTTTTTTGAAACAAGGTTTATTAAACATGTAAATTCATAATTTTTAGTCAAGAGTTACTACTAATCATAAAAGGGTGTTCGGTCAATTTATTTGTAATTT